ATTAGATAAATCTACCTTTATAAAAAACACAAAAATGCATATTTAAAATTAATAGATCTACCTTTAAATGAGTGGAAGATGAAAACCATGTGATGAAAAACCTAAAAAACAAGATAAATTAGTGAAAAAGACATGAAAAAATAATAAATCGATACAAAGTTTGGTGTTTATAAGTTCAAAGAGATTAGAGAGAGGTTGGAGAGTTTTAGAATGATGAACATTATATTTTTGTTGCAGCCATTTGAGAGGAAGAGAGAGAATGTGTACATTTTTATTGATATAGGGAGACAAACATCAAATTAGGTTAAATATTTTTGATTCAGACGAATTATTTGTAAGTCGTCCAGAAGATAGATGACTTACTTGTAAGTCGTCCAGAAGACTTAATATTTTTAGCAGGAAACTAAAATAATTAAGCGGGAAAATGAATTTTAGGCGGGAATATTTGGACGACTTACATGTAAGTTTTCTGGGTTAAATTATTCACCAGACGACTTACAAGTTAGTCGTCTAGACCCTAAACATAACCCATAAACTTAATTAACTAATTAAACACTTCATAAAATCAAATTAAACTTAAAAAGTGTTTACTATACATAGAATTAAACACATATAGGTGAAAGTTTAATTAAAAAAAAACATTTAAGCTTTCCAAAATCTAATCCCAAGAATACATACAATACTACAACATATGCTGTCAAACCTAAAACCAAATAATATCATGATTAACTACTTTTACTCATCTATGTTGAAAACTATTCAATTTTATTATATCTTAATTTACATCACTTAAAACTGTTTATAATTACATGATTTTAATTTTCACTTGTTAAAATATATTTTTTAATTTATAAATTATTTTTAAGATCAACTACATGAGACGACTAACCTGGAAGTCATCTAGACGACTTCCAGCATCCCAGACGACTTACTGGGGCTATATTCGTAAAAATGATTTCTGTTGTTTTGTTTGATCACAAGGGGCTGACTGTAACTTCACAAGGTTTTTTGGTTAGATTTGAATTTGATTCAAGTTTGGATATAGATTTGTAATTAAAATCATGTTTTGAGTCATATTTGGAAAATTCTCCTTTGTACAAATTTATGGTTACATTTGTGTGCATTATTTGTTTTCTTAGGGCTATTTCTTTTAGTTTGAGAATAATTTAGATCTGATATATATATATATATATATATATATATATATATATATATATATATATATATATATATATACTTATTTTTAATTTACATATTTAAGAATTGGATGAAAATAATTTATTTTTTATTATGTGTAGAAATTTAGCTTTTTGATATTAAATTTGTGAATATAAGCTAAAGTCTTATAAATACAGACTAACCATTAAGATTTTATAAAAAGACGTATTACTATATGATTTTAGTAAATATTTACGATTTTTGAATAGTTTTCATGTTTGTTAAATTTTTTTTTTTTTCAAAAGTACTTAAGATAATTTCACTGGAAATAAATTCAACAGAATCATGTTTCTACGGAGACTAATCCCTAACAAAATAGTGCATTACAGATGCGGAGTTACCGTTTTGATTTTCAGAATCTTCATGAGTCTGTTTCTTAGTTGATGACAAACAAAAATAGTGCATTACATATAAAGTTACTTTTTATCTTTTGATTGCATATAAAATTTTATTTTAAGCTTACAATCCATGATCTTAAAACATAAATCCGTGATCCTACAAAACACTATAAATGATTTTATCTCATATTTATTTTTGCAACAACATTAATGTTGGCTATTTAGGACTTGCAAATGATGAAGATCGCGAAGATTATTATCAACATATTACCATAAAACTAAATGATTTGAAAATATTTATAATTAGTTGTAATCTAACCATGAAATCATTTAATATAAAACACAAATTTATAAAAATTTAATGTAAAAAATAGATTACATTAAATATATTGTTGAGAAACATAGACTAATGTTAATGAAGATATTTAGTCCATAATAAAAAGAAATTAATTTACATCTATTAGCTGAAAAATTCATTTCAATATAAAAATTATATATGGACAAGGTAATTTGAAAGAAAATTAAAGGTCTACAGTAATATTCAAATGTAATTAGGTAAGGAATCACTTTTATATCATTTTGACTACAATCTAAGATAATTAATTGAAAGATTTTCTCTAAAATTTCCTTTTAGCAAGTTAATTTTAATATATATATCAATCTAAAATATAAATAGGACACTCAAACAATTTAGAAAACATCCTACAAAATGAGTCTCTCAAAAATTATGTTAATCTCATTTGTTTTCACTATTTTCTTCGTGACATCAAACGTTTACTGCACAAATACTATTCCGGGTACTAAAATACTATTTTGACAGTTAATTTAAGTGATGCTTATGCCTTTATTCTTACATAAATTTAATATTGTATTATTTATTATTATTTGAATAGATTTTGCGGTGAAACAAGAAAATAAAAAATGCTACGGTCCGTGTAATAAAGGAGCTGCAGGAGCTGCAGAATGTGACGGATTTTGTAGAGCCAAAAACATTCAATCAATGGGCACTTGTGCTTCTGGAATTTGTTGTTGTGTGTCAAAAAACAAAACTAAAAATTAAAATAATATTAGTAGATATTATATTTTAATTAAATGGAAATAATATTACCAATACATAAAACTGCTATCAAATTAAAGTTATTTTGTTTAATCTCGAGAAAATATTAGTCAAAGATTACAAAATATTAGAAATGCAATACACTATACATGACATACTTTTTGTGCATCCATTAATTTAAATTAAAAGAGAGATCGAATCTAAACTTGTCCCAAACTCGAGTCCACTACAGAAGATGCATAAAGATTTAGAGCATGTTTTGCCATAACATCGGCTCTTGTGTTTCCAAAACGAGAAATATGAGAAAAAGAGATAGAGTCAAACATCTAGGAAATCTGCATGATATTCACGATGATGTGGAAGAGTTTCTTGATTTTGAGTTTGATGGAGATTTCTCTAATGAGTGATAGACAGCTGGAGTATATTTTGAGGTTGAGTATATCAAGATCTACTTCTGCTAATAGACCTGGTTGAATCACTCAAGCCTCAGCCATTAAAGGTGTGATGACACAATCGGCTGTTTTGGAGCCTTCACGGTTCTGTATGTTCGGGGATCTGTGAATATCCATGCACACCCCGCTTTCCCGAAGTTAAATCCCAGGAGACAACTGTGAGACATGTAATTATCATACCTCGAGGTTCCTCTGGGTGTAGATCATTTATCTGAGGCAATCAATTTTTCTTTGTAACTTTTGATGATTTTGCTTGATTCCATTCCCGTGTTAGATTTAATCCTCTTGAAACCACCTCCAAATTGGTTAGATTTTTGTCTTGAAGATCAGCATGTTTCTTGCCATCCAAATCAACCAACATAATAGGTTTTTGGTAAACCAAGTTTCCATATGATACATGATATACAACTGTAAAATAAGTAGGTTCTTGTTAAACCAAGTTTTCATATGATTACCTTTGATAATTATTGTTTATGTTCAGCATTTTCTTGTCGTATGTTGATCACTTCTAACGTAAATAAAAGGCTACAAATAATTTTGTAATTAGTTGCAAGATAATTGTGTATCTTACATATTAGAATAGTTAAGAATGATGTTTTCAGTAATGGTTTTGTTTATAATCTTGCAGTCAAATATCATTTAGTTATTTCAGATCACTTTTATGTATTTACTTCTTTTTTTTCATTCAAAAATGTTATATTAATTAGATAAACACATATAATTAATATAAATTACTATTGCAAGAAAGTGTTTGGCAATATAAACAAATGAATTAGGTGTTCACAACAAGGAATAAAATGCAATGTTTTACTTTCCTCAAAAATAGATTACAACATATGACTAATGTTGGTATGTTCGGTGGTTATCAAAAGAACAAAAAAAAATTCTTATCCTTTATATACTAAAGCGCAAGTCGCCTAACGAATTAGAATTTGACACATGGATTAAGCAATAAAAAATATTTTAGATAAAAAGCAAATGAAAAATGAAAACTAAAAAGGTTAAATGTTTATTTGACAAAATTAAAATATTTTCTTCGGCCACTTCGTCGTAGTTCTTCTTTCCCACGATCACCATTCACCAACAATTTCTAAATAACTACCTATATTATTTTATATATAACTGCATCTTGCTAAAAAACAGATTTTCTCTCTTTCTCTACTCAACAGACCCGATGGAGACATGCAAGCTTCTTCGCGAGACAAATTGGTATTCATATTCTATAACCGATGGAGACATGCAAGCTTCTTCGCGAGACAAATTGGTATTCATATTCTATTTTCTATTTTGTATCTGATTAGTATCTTTGGATTTCACTCTTTCTCTGCTTCTACCATGACCTTTATTTATCAAATCTCAACTACGTACAAGATTTTCTTCAAAAAAACAAAAAAAGACTTCAAGGTTATATTTCTTTTCCTAAATGAAAAATCTGAGACGGTGAAAGCCAAATGGATGTAACAAAGTTTTTCTCTGTCTCACATTGTTACTCCTCGAAAATCTTTATCTTATTTTGAAAGCTTTGCATGCTTAAAAATGTATCCCAAAACTAACATATAACCATTAACTTATATGCATTTCAAAGATGTGAAAAGAGCAGAGAATCTAACCACCCAAAAAGACTATCAACAAAATGGAATTACAAGTACAAATATCATAAGAAAGTATCCTATTTTGTACTGTTTCTCTTGGATTGATATTTGTTTTTTCTTCATGTTCTGCCAAAGATAAAATAAAAATCATGATGTCATCTATAATATTATTTCTTTTGCAATTTCTGTTGAAATGCTACATGAAGAGTAAGTATACATTTCTTGGTTTATTTAAAATCATAATTATGTATAATAAGCAGAGAAACTAGAATCAGATGTTCTTTTAAATAGAAAAGATAATATCTTAAAAATAAGATTCATAATTGATATTTTACATTCAGTGCTATAATGAAACTGAAATTTTGCAAAAATATTAGCATCCCAAACAAAAAGAATATTTCAGAGTAAGAACTATTTATACTCAGTTTATGTATATTTAAGCATAATGATCAAAGGAACCAAAACTCTAAATGTTGTAGGAGAAACATAAGAAAAGCTAACACAAACCTTACAACCAGGTAAAGTGAATTGAAAATCTAACTGAAATTTAGAAGATAACTATTAATAACTTTGTTCGTCTAAAAAAAGAGAATGTTACTATTATTCTAATAGAACTTAAGTATTATATTTGTTGTCTATGAATATAAATACATTGAGTATTAGTATGAATCGGGTAAATATTTTTTGCTAAAAACCACACTGTTGTAATATAATGAACCATTCTCTTTTCCCGTACGCAGTACGGGTAAATCACACTAGTAAAATATATTATTCTCGTCTTTCTAACCTATGTTATGTCTAGTTTCTTGTTACCATTGGATAACTGTGAAAAGCTCGTTGAGTGCCATTGCATGGTTTTAGTAGAACTCAAATCCCCGTAAATGAGAAATACATTGGGACAAATGAAAAACATCTTTGTTTCTGTAATGAGGAAGGTGGTATTGGTAAGTGGTTATCTATAAACTCTCTACTCCCAAGCAAGCGGTTACTCGAATACTTTTTACAAGCCTGCCCAAACAAAGCAGCCATGGTTGTAGCTCCTGGCCACGGAACGTCGACGAGATCGGGACCTCGAGCGTGACGCATCGTGTAACCTTCCTCGCCGCCTACTTTCACCGGAACGCCTCTCTTCTTCCCCTTCTTGCTTCCGTTTAAGGCTACGGAGAGTAGGATTGGTATTAGTAGAGCCGCGACTCCGCCTGCTATGATCCCGTAGAGTCCATACGATGAAGCCATTGGAGGATCTTCCATGACCTAATAGATCGGTGAAATCAAAATTCGGCAGATCATAAAAGCAGAAACAGAATTTAAATGAAGAAAAAGGAGGTTAAGGAATCTACGAATCGTGATTACCTCCGTGAAGAATCGAGAATTGATCGGAAGTTTTCTTGAGGATTTTCTTTCGAATCGGATTCGGAGAGAAAGTGTGTAATCGAAGCAAAGCTGTGGTGGACTTCGTCTTTTTCTCGAGAAGCCGTCGTGCTTTTAGGAATAACCAATCGCAAGGAGGAGCATAGACACGTGTCAGTCGGCAGATGGAAATGAAATGGTGATCGGTGAATGGAGAGACACGTGCCGTTCAATGGCACCCTGCACATAAGTCAACAAGACTTTCGTTGCGCCACGACACCAAGGAAGCTGCTCTTCCTCTGAGATTCTCTGATTCTCCAATTTTGGAATGGGAACCGGTTACATTTGAAAACGTGTATTTTCTTCAAAATTGGTTTTATTTCGACTCTTTTTTTTTGTCGGCAAAGTTTTGTATTACGAGAACTATATGTTACATATCTGTTCATTTAATTATATACTAACTAGGATCGGCCCGCCCTACGGACGGGATATACTTTATTTATGATATAGTTTTATTTTTAATATGATTTTTTTGTTTGTATTTTAGGTTTGTATTTGCAAGAGCTATGTATCAAAATAAAGAATTATATATAATAAGATACATTTATTTTTTTACAATAGTTGTTTCATATAAAAAACTTGTTGCATTGATATAGATTTTGTGTTGTTTCCTTTTCAATAAAATTTATCCCATATCATGTACGTTTTTTGCGGTTTGTAATATTTTGGGTTTGGAAATTTTGAATTGAAGATATTTAATAAATTATGTGTAAATAGTTTTGGGTTGTAAATATGTGGTGTTAGATAATATAATTTTGCGATTCATGCAGGGTTTAATAAATATATTGACTCATATTTGTTTTAAATTCAAAAATTTGGTTATATTTTGTGATTCTTTATTCACGTACGATCTTGTTTATATATATGTTAAGATATTTAGAAATAAAGTCATTATAATTGACTAAATTTTATAATAATATAATATATTTTAGACAAAGTTTTTATATCATATTTTCTAGGTTGAACTAAATTTGTAGTCGAAAGAGAAAAAAGCTTGTGACATTCATTTTTTCACTGGTATAAATAAATAAATGTAGAAAGATTAAAGCGTGAAATGATTTTTTTTGTTTTTTTTTGTTCAAATGATTTTTATTTATTTTCTAGTGAAATTATTTATTTTAGGCCCTATATATTAAATACTTTCAGTAACTGATTATTTATGATGAACAAAAAGATTAATGTCATAATTTAGTTGATTAAAAATAAAGTATTAATTAAAATGATTTAGGAGTTATTAAAATTTTTGTTAATTGATTTAGTGTAAATAATATGAAGATGAAATTTTAAAACCATTTACTTCTACTTAACATATTATGACATAAGTGTTAAGTTTCTAAAAAACTTCTTGATGAGGTGTCAAAATAAAAAAAAACTATAATTTAAAAAAAAAACTTAGTTTACAAAAAAAAGAAAAAATATAGTTTACAAAAAAAAAAGAAGAGAAAAGAAAAACTTAGTTTATATGAAATACTTTGACTAATATTTGCGTGTGGGTTCAAATAAATATATATCAACGACATGTAAGTGCCTAAAAACAAACATTTGATTTACTTGTCGTAAGGAGCAGCTTTGTTTTGAAGATTGTTACGGGCTATCGAGTGTTTCTTAGGTTGCCTTGCAGCTTTCCCCCTACTACTTGTTCCCAGTACATAAGTATATGGATTAAAATGAAGGTTAGTGTAGATGTTCTGACTGGTTTGCTAATGTTATTGGAAGGAGACCCATCCACCTATTTCATCAGTTTTTTTTACCATAGCTAGAGAAAGAGATGGATCTTGAACCTGGAAAATGTTTTTAAAATTAATTATTATGGAAGTTGTGATAGGGGTATGAAGGTTGGGTCTATTCTTACCTAACCACTCAATGACTAATGGTATTGCTGATGTAATTAATTTGAAGCAGTAAGCACTACTAGCCGTTGGATATCTTTTGAACTCCCACTCACCATTCAGGGTGTCTGTAATTAACCCTAAACATCCACTCTGTGTTTAAGAGATATCCAACAGAGTTTTGACATTAGAGATAGAGTGGCTTGGTAAGTTACCGTTACGTTCGATGCATTGGAGCGTGAGAATGAGTTTATGTTTAAGGCTCAGATTTATACGATAATTTTTGATTAGTTTAACTGTTTTGAGTTGTTATTTGATTAAATAGTTAATCTTACTATGGTGTTAAGAAAATGAAGCAAACATGATAAGAAGGATCCGATTTTAATATAAACTGAAATCATAAATTCCATTGACAATTTATAAAAGAGCAAACTTAGTTGCCTTGCAATTTACGGTTTTTAAGAAAGAACAAAAGTACTTGGATCTGAAATTTATATGAGTAGAAAATCAGAGATTCAGGTCCAAAAAAATCAGAGAAATTTATAGTAATAGATTTAGGTCCAAAAAAATCGATAAAGCCCAACCGATAAAACCCAGTCGAATATGACAATTTGTTTGATTATCTGACGTGGCACATCCTTGACCCGCGGAATGTGCTTTATGTGTGCTATATATAATTATGTTATTATATTATTTTATTGCATGTATTATATGTTAAAATTTATAAGAGAGGTGTATAATTGTTTATAAGAATATTTGAACGTGGAAAACTTATATAATGTCATGATTTATCATGTTTGTTTTTGATGGTTGTATTTATAGATATTATGCAAGGTTGGATGAAGTTTATGTGGTCGTATGGTTGTCTGTTTTTTTTATTGTTTATCAGTTTTATAGAATTGTATTTAATTTCAAGTATCTTTTATTCCTATTTATTATTAAAATTTATGATATATTGTTTGGAAAAAAATCTATTGTTTAGTCGGTCATTTCTGGAGCATATTAAACCTTTGCAACTATTCTATTATAACTATGGTGTAGCCAATGTTTAATATATATTTTTTAGTTTAAATAATATTATTTTATTTTATTTTATTTTATTTTATTTTATGCATAGATCATTATTTTATAATTGTTTTTTTTCTTAAATTAATATTTTCACTTTTAACTTGTTTGTTATAAAAGACTTAACATTAGTTTTACAATAGTTGAATTAGCTCTATACTATTGTTGTAATTACTAATGGAGTTGTGTTCTATTTCTGTTATGTTGGTAAAGATATTTTAACTTGTTTTTAATAAAAATTATCTAAATTCATCTCTGCGTTCTTTATTCATTATCAGACTATTATATATTGTGTCTTCACTGAACTATGCAAAGACATTTTTATTTGCATATCAATATTAAAATTACTGGTGAAATTTTTTAGTATATAATATTTATTTGTTTCACATTTAGTTGAGTACAATAACCTCAAATTTCATGTTCCCAATAAAAGCTCTTTTTAATGACTGCAAATAAAAGGGTTTAAAATTGCTAAGATTGGCATGACTTAAGAAAGTAAAAAAAGAAAGATGATCTTCTGAATCTGAGCGACACTCTGTAAAGCTTCTCAACCATCTTCCTGTGTTATGTACATCAGCAAACTCAAAAGCAAACAAAAGAAGAACATTCATTAGTGATGATAAAAATGGGAAAACCCGAGATGTGTAAATCTATTTATTATTGTTTCAGAGTATCTTCTTGATTGCTCCAAAATCGAGCTGCTTGAATGTTCAAAGTTGAGCTAATGTTTGGTACGATGAGCCAAAACAAAAACAAAACAGATACGGGATCAAACCAATAAAGAAAAGTTGGTTACATTAGCCATAGGTGTTACCTCTAAGAAGGCTTTGAACTAAAACTGAAAGCAAAAATGCTTTGGTTACATCTGATAAATGTAAATTATATTATCAAATTGAGTTTTTGAATACAAAGCAAAAATACCTGATTCTTCTAGAGGCCCAAAAACGTAAAAAACCCAATAAGATCCCTAACTGTATGTAAGAGCAGCTTAGAACAAATTTTCTGATATCTTCTGGCTAGAGAGAGATGTCTCGGAGATGCCTGTCAATCTGAGAAAACAGGGTGGTTGCAGTCAGCGCAAGGGCATTATGAACTCTGTTATTTCTCTCGTTCCATAGAAAGTGAAGTGTAGCTTGAATGGCCAGCTTTTGAAGAGTCTTTGCAGATCCTTTTCTTCAAGCGTTTAGAATCCAGACCATCATAGACCGCCATGAATTGAACACCCGATGATTTACTCCAAGCCTTGAGAGAAAGAATGACCAAACCTCAACAGCATAAGCACAATTTATAACTAAATGGTCTCTGGTTTCGTCATGCAGAGAACCGAGAATGCAGGTTGTTGGAATATTCAGACCCCATTGTGCGACAATCTTGTTCTAACAGGAAGTCTATTGAGACTGGCTACCAAAAAGTTGAACGAATGCTTTGGAACTCGATTCTTAAACCAGACCGCGAGTGAGAATATTTAGTCTTCCTGAACTCTGTAATCAGTTCCTTCAAAGCCTTATATTAACTTCCTCTGATTGTTCTTTACAGCAGAATATGTTATCTTTCTCTGAGAAAGCTGATATCTCCGATCACCTCCCATACAGCACCCATCAAATCAAAATTCTACAGACATATACAGGTTTATCTCTAATCAAACCTTTTCAGCTTTTTTCTTTACGTTGGAAAGAAAATGGAGGGTAAGACATCTTTACCAATAAACCCATTAGTCCAGATTTCTCCCTGCATATAACAGGCGAACAATGGGTTACGGAAAATCATGAATTTGCTTAACAAAGAAGCAAGTATGGAATTCACTGAGAGTTGATTACCTTTGGAAAGAGATGATTTATCATCCTCTCATTGCTTACTCCGGAAAAGATGTCGTTGAAAAAACACTGGCATGAGAAGATGATGTTCAAGGGAAATATGTAACCTTTATATAGG